GCGAAAATCAACGAAACCTGCGTCGGATCGCGGACTCTGAGACTAGCCTTAGGGGATCAGGAGATAACTAGCTTATAAGACAAGATACTTTTATTGTTTGGAAGATGGATTGAGTGGGAGAGTTCAGCCAACAAAAAAATAAACTAATTATTGATTGGTCCGACTGAATATTGAGAGAGCGGGACTTTTGGAAATTCAGTTGAGAGGCTCAGATACGTGCTGAGTTATTTGAAAGGAAAGGTGTGAAAGGATCAGCGGATTACGAGATTGAGAGAATCAACTGAGAAGATTAGACTCTATCACTAAATTAGAACACGAGATCAGGAGATTTAGTTTGCTGGAATACTGAGTATGAACGCAGAGCATTTACACAAGCGATTTCAATGCTTACTAGTTAATTGCTTTTTTTCTGAGGGCAATCAGTGAGCATCTGATAGAAAGTTCGGACGAAGTTGGCAACAGTGTTGATGATTCGCTTTAGATTAGCTTCTGTTTGTACTGGGTTTTTGCTTTGGCGACTGTATTCGCTCCCTATCGCAGTGTAACAGCATATGATGGGTGGGCTTTGGTGCTATTTATTTCATAGCGCTTATGCTACATTCCTATAGATGTTTGTAGATAGGGTCCTAGCTCTGCACCAATTGCAGTTTAGCAAGGAAAAACTTTTGAATAAGCAGCATATTCAAGGACATAGTGGGACAGGTTCTCAGAAAGCCTTTTCCCTTATCTCATACTTCGAAAATAAGGGAATAAGGGAGTTTTAAGGGAATGAACACCCTCTAGTGCTCACTCCATATTATATTCTTAACCGTATTATATCAATTTTTTGTTTTTTATGGCATTTCTTATAATTATGGCGAATTAGCTTATTCCAGATCAGTCTTCCAGGTGTCATAGAGCTGGAATTCCTACGAGCGTAGGTTGCAGAAGATTCAAACAAAACGAAAAACCGAACAATTACTGTTCGTGTTTTCTGAATGTACGTGTAAATGATCTTGGAGTGGTCAAAGCTCGAGGATGTTTCGGACACGCTGGACACAAACCCGATGTGGCTCTCCTTCGTCTATCACATGAACAGGAAATTTATTTGAAAGGTTTACTGGAAGGTAAATAAGAATTGCATCATCAGATGACTCATATCCCGTTGAGGTCACTCAATGATAAGCTTTCAGTGCACTCAATTGACTACATCGTAAACCTTCTGAAGCAAGACTTCCCTTCAAAAACTTCGCGCCTTCATCATGTTACTCGCGACGAGTTGAAGAACATTCTGCGCAAATATGAGCTCGTCCCCATTCCTCCCGAAAATGATAGTGGGGACTTGTCGATTGTGAATGAGGAAAAAAGCAATCCTTCTGATCATATTTTGACGGTGAATGGCGATAATGGAACCTGGAATAGTAATCAAAGTGCAAATGTTCAGGTATGGGTTGTTGAACTTCATCGATTTCTGTGCTCTTTCACGTCACAGCCTCTCCAATGACCCTGGGATCTATTTTTTCAGGAATGTGAAGACAAAAAAGATCTTCAAGATGTGATAGCAATGGTGCAGGGTGAAGCTGTCGAGGGGAACCTAGAAATCGATCCTTCTTTGTTTCATGACGACAAGGATGAAGTATTCAACGAAATTATGGAGTCGACGCCTTCGCAGGCGGGATCTGCGCCACAGATGTTGTCAGATAATCGTTCGAAGAGCATCTGCGAATCTTCATCGATGAAGCAATCTGATGTTCCCTCGACTTCCCATTCACCTCTAGGATCGCTGGATGAGCAAAGTAAGCGTGCACGCGAAGAGCGCTGGCGTTGCGATCTTTGCTTCAGGGTGATGCTTCGGAGGAATTTGTACATCCATCTGCAGAGAGTGCATTCCTTCACGAGAGAAGAGATCCTTCAAGTCAGGGCTGACGTTTCAGGAGATATATTCAGAACAATTAATCGTCGCGAAGTTTCTCGGATGTTTTGCCCCATATGCGGAGAAGTAGTTTTCGATCATGTCACTTTAGCTAGACATTGTGCAAGCCTTCACAGCAGTGATGGTGCTGGTGGCGATCCGCAAGACTACACGCTCTTCAAGAAGTCTTTCGAATCATACACTGATTTCGAGGTGGGTTGATCTAACGGTCGGGTACCACTGCTGTTAGAGTGTGGCATAGGTGCATCGATGGTAACGCGTGGTCGGTAATACCTATTCTACACTCAGACTGCGAACTATGAAACGATCCGCAATTCATCTACTTTTTACGTCATCTCTTCAAAGGTCAATGTCGGACTGTGATGGGAGCTGTAAATCACTCGAGGATTTATTCGCTCCCGTCACTTGTGCGAAATCGCTCCCGTCGCAAAGTCTGACATCGGCTAAAGTAATTTTGGTTCGGTGCATTGCTTCTTTCTCACTGTAGCTTCTCAAGGTTTGTACTTTAAAGACTCTCTTATTTTTTTGAAGGAAAACAGACAAAGTTTCATTCATCTTCAAGTGCACATATTTCAAGATTCGCAAAGAGGCAAATACTTTTCCACGGCACTGAATCTTTCCCTTATTGTTCTGAGATTTACCATATTGTAGAGGTGGCTGTCTGAGCAATGCGAGCGAACTTGTTCGAGTTTCTTCCGTAAATCAGCTTCAGGAGAAGGCAGAACCCTAATCCATTTAAGGTACTGATAGCAATTTTCCGTTGCCTCTCTCAGTGGATAGGTCATTTCACGGAACATCAAATCTTGTTAATGTTTTATTTTCGAAATTCTAGTGGTATTTTTCAATGTTCTCTTATTTTTCATCCATATTTCAGATGTAGCAGGGCTGGACGATATATCAGTTGTGGATCCAAAAGAGTGTTACCGACCAAAAAACAAACGCGGAACTGCTCATGTTTTTTAAATGTGCGCATCAACAACTGTGGAAGGATCTCTGTGCTCGGTTGTTTTGGGCATGTTGGCCACAAGGTTGACGTCGCTCTAATCCGCTTGACACAACCACAGGAAATGTTCCTCAAAGGACTACTAGAGGGTACGAAAATGACTCTTGGAGCATTAATATGAAGATAATTGTCAGTTAAACGTTTTTAGTATACCCGGTTAATTATATAATCATGCGACTAAAGAGAGACTACCCAGCGAAAACGTCACGACTATATCATGTTTCTCGAAGCGATTTAAGGAGTATTATGAAGAAGTATCACCTGGAACCCATTCCTCGAATTAACATGGCAAAGTTGGCCACTGAAATGAATGAGCATAACCCTCCTACGAAGCACATAATGGGAGGGCAAGATAGCAATAATAACAAGTGCTGGCGAGGTATGTACTTACCATTAGTACTATTCTCATGCATCAAAGGCAGTGGGTAAGCTAGTTTTTAGGAAGCGCGCCCACAGTAAGTGTCCATTGGTGAGAGGATGTTGGGGTATACCCTCCTCCAGCGTATGAATGTAGTTCAACTTACTTCCATGACGTGTACTGCGGGCCGCTTCTTCCCTCAGTATACCCGTTGTCTTTGAGCTGTCGCGGATTGCAGCAGAGCGATTGTTGAGTTTCCAGGGACGCTTTTGCGAATCTCCAAAAACTCTTGCGTACGTCTTGAAAATGGTCACTCAAGATTCAGTTCGAAACACTACAACTGGAATCTGGCATGATGGCCGCGACGAAGTCAATGGACGCTTCGACAATAACATCTCTAGGAAATTTACTCACCCAGTGATGCAACCATTATCCCATTTTCCTTCAACATTACCTCTTGGAGGCGATAGAGAGGTAAGTGTTCTATTTTCGAATCAAATTTTAGTCATGAATAGCTTACAAGGTGAACTAATCTGAAATGGCACTTACTTTCGGCTTATCAGCATACTCTGCGTCTTTGAAAAACCAGTAACGTTGAGAACTTCATGTGAACAACACTTATTGAAGAACATTCAACGTACGGTCAATGCTACGAGTACAGATCCAGCAACCACTTCTTTCCATCTTTCTCGAGCCGTCCCGAATCCAAAACCAAAAATCCCTATTATAAGAGTGGGAACAAAGCTGAGTAAGGTTCAGATCCGTTTGGTGAGTTTTTTTTTTTCAAATGATTCATTGCGAAGCAAAATGCAATAGAGGAAGATTTCAGCCTCTTCCTCTGCCCACGACTGTTCAACGCAGAAACAATGTCGCGTAACTGTAACAATGCGAGTTTCTACATGTATTTTGGATCATATTCAGAATGACGGCAACTTCAGTTTACTATAGTTTAGTATCAGTATTATCCTATTATTAGCTTATTTCACCTTTCAAATTTTTAGTAATCTTGCAATGCTATAGTTTCAAAATCGCGAGTTGTCGTTTGGTTGTGCATGGGAAGATTTAATAACAGACCTTACTGGTATCGCACCGTACGGGTCTCTAAAACACCGCTTTGTTATTTTTACCCATGTTGAAGTTATCTTTTTACACTTGTACGTTAGAAGAGTTTCCCTGTTCCCATTAGAAGAAGCATGTCCTTTAAAGAGAGTAGTTTCGTTGTTGTGAAGATGATTTTCTATTTGTGCAGTTGAACTCAATGCCGAAAATTTTGGAAGGGTAGGGGACCTTGAAGAGGAAAGGAGCTTGTGATCCCCAGTATTATCCGTTTGGCTATGACAATGCTAATAGCATATCTCTATCAACTAAAAGAGGGAGACTACGGGCAAGCCTAGCTTGTTTTTATATTCCCTTCTGTAGCAGCGGGCAAATTGAATTCAGCTGTACGAATCCTTTCTGCATTGTTATTGCTATTGTTAGGAATGCATCTATTCATCTCCATCTATTCAGCGCACCTTTTTGAAAGAAGTTTTCAAGCATTTTTCCGGTGTCATATGAACATAGCTTCTTTTTTTAATTTTCATTACTTCATTTGTAGCTATTTTATGTCTCCTTTTTCAATGAAGATTTCTACATTTTTTGTAAATTCATGTTACAGGGAGCCGCCAATAATACCTGAAATGGGAAGTTTGATATTTTCTAAAATTCAATCCCATTGATCTATTGAGAGGTGTCGCTCCAGATATTGTCAACTTCAACTTCAGTGGTTTATGCAGTTTCTGCGGGTGCTCGCTAGCAGACGGAACTGATGTGAGGTTTGAGCTAGCTTCTATTTCCGTCCTAAATTTCAGTTTTTCTTCCTAATATTCAGTTTTTCTTCTTAGAACAAGATAGTCAAGCTGTGAGAAGCTGAAGGTGAGTTTGTGTACAGAAGTAATTTTAGGTATGATTATTCATACCGAGATGAAAGCCTAGGAACGAGGAGGGTCGTCAACGAAGGAAGAGCGCAAAAGTTTGAAATAAGGAACCAAGGGTTGGTGAGGTCGGCCCTGTAGGGCAGAGGGGACGTGATGGGGAGTGAGAATAGGTGAGTACACACTGCACGAGAAAGCTGAGACACCCACATGTTAATAACTAGAAAAGGGGAGCCGGTCGAAGCAAGGCCCAGCTCTCCTGTCGCCACTTTCGAGTCGTGAGCAAAGCACATTTGCGTCTTTCAGCTGGATAGAGCGTTCAGTGGACAACTCGATCTTACTCACCAAAGGATTGATTAACCGAATTCATCGTAGGGTGTGCTTTGAAGCACGCTGTCATTCTCACTGACAAATCCAGAGGTCTAAACAGTATTAGTTTTGCCTTCACTGGCGATGATATCCCGAAACAGCTATTGACTCAGAAAATCGTCGAAGTAATATTTCGAAGGCCTAATGTAATTTGCTGTTTACTGTTTAGTTGTGCTCCGGTTATCATTTATATCATTTCAGAAAATGGAGGAGCCTTGGCGGTGCTGCCTTTGTGGGAGTGTGATGTTCAGAAAGGGCCTCTACTCACATTTGCGAAATGTTCACAATATCACCGAAGAAAAAGTCTATGAGGTTGATGGTGCAGCGCGAGAAGCGAATTCAGCACCCAATCACGTTGCCAGTTTGTGGATATTTTGCCCCGAATGCGGAGAGAAGGTCCCAGATCATTCGCATTTGGCGAGGCATTGCGAAAAGCTTCATAAGGATGGTGGAAGCAGCAGCCAACCGCAAGATTACACTATTTTCACCGAATCTTTCGATACGTACATTGAGTTCGAGGTACGTTTCCTATGAGGCTAATTAAAATTAGCTCTAGTTCTATATGTTCTTTGGAATATCAAATATGAATGCTGAGTAGCTAATAAGAGTCGCTACAATGTCTACTGGTATTTGTCAAATGAATCGGGAATTTCACGAAACGGCCTTAGAAAGTCAATCTTTAGTATTGTAGTGGGATGTAATATGGAACCTATGTGACCAGTCATGTGACCAGTCCTGTTTTTTTTTGTAGAAATGGCTTAGTGAGAAGAGTGAACGGACTTGTTCGAGTCTAATCTGCCATTCAAGTGCGCTCGGAAGAAATGAGTTCTCCATGAGGTAAGCATCAGCACGAGTCATATTTTTCAGCATTCAGTTTTATGATCCACAGAAGGCTTCATTTTATTCTAGGGTAAAATCAGAGAAACACTCTTACTTTTCATTAAGTGGGTTTTCAGTGTATAAGAGTTCAGGCGCCTTGTTTGTTTTTGATATTATTTGATTTGTGAAAACCGGGGCGTCAGGATAGATGTTGGGTGTATGGGCGCCCTGATAGTGGACAGAAGAGCAACAGCTCAATTACATGAGAAAAAACTGAAAGACCTTGAGCAAAACAAAGATAAACCTTATCATCAACAACTGCGAAGGAAGGACGAAATCTCCGAACGTGTGGGCTCCATACCAGCAGTTGCTGGCTTCCTTTCTTCTCTATCACGCAGAAAGTACAGCGTACACAGTTACAGTCACAAACATCTTCTTGGGGGATCTATGGAAGCAGAGCTTTGATAAGTAGAAGTATAAAACCGTCCAAGATCATGGTCCAGGATGCAACAGGTGAGAGAGTCCAGGCTGTTTCGTCCGCGCGCTCGTTCGTGGTTGACAATCGAATGCTCAGCTCCCTCAGACTTGTTTGCATTCTTGCGGCTTCGCGTCGCCATATTCATTCGGCGCATCTGAAAGTACACGTTCTAAGATCTCTAATGATCAGTGAATCGATTACTAACGATAAGTTCCAAACAGCTGATTTACTACCTTTACAATGCTTTTTTGGAGTGAATAAACCGAGCCTGGTGGTGAGATAGTAATTTGAATGAAGTGTCACGTATGTTGCGAGAATGCCATGCTATGCCACGTATGCACGTCTAGTGAAGGGCAAGTTAAAGACTAAACCAGGCGGCGTTAGACTAGAATTTTAGACCGAGGTTTTTTGTCGCGATTTCCGAGTCTTGAGCGTGGCTTCGTCTCTTTGGTGGCGCAATACTCACCTGATAGAAGGGGTCGGTTTGGCCGCCGGAACACGACCCGTGCTAATCATTAGCGTTTATTTTCGAGTGGCAGATTTTTCGTGGTCTGTCGCGATTCTCTCCGTAATCTTTAATCTTCTCTTCATTTCATGATTATTGCATTTTCAGATGTCACAGAGCTGGAAGATATATCAGTGGTTTGTCGAAGGAAACTCGTGAGATGAAGCAGAGCAAGAAGCAGGCGAAGAGCTGCTCTTGTTTCTTGGAAGTACAACTGCATGACTCTGGAGTGGTTACTGCAACAGGATGTTTTGGTCATGTAGGCCACAAACTCGAAGTTCCTCTCCTTCTTCTATCAACCAAGCAGGAGCTGTTTCTAAAGAATCTTCTGGAAAGTAAGTTGGTAACGGTCAGATGGCTTACAGTGACTTGCGTTTTCATATGGATATCGTTGTAGAGTTCTCCATGGATTTTATACTCAATCGCTTACAACGCGAGTATTCTCCGAAGACATCACGGCTTGGGTCCATTGATAGAAAGGATTTGTGGGATCTTGTGAGAAGATATCAAATTCTCCCAGTTCCTCGTGAAACCGGCTGTCCAAGAAACGTTATGCCTTCGTATGGCTATCGAAGTTGTTGTGGTGATGACTATGAAGAGGAACAGGATTGTGATTCTGAGGTACGAACTTTCACTAGGATCGATGAGCTCAGTTTTACTTTGAAAAATCCATTGTTCAGGATGATCTGCTGGGACGGCCCTCGTGCTCACCTCCACGGCCGACTCAAACCTCAGAAAAGCAGAAGGAACCAATTTTGCTAAACGTTGAAGGAAAGCGTCTCCACAGCGCAACAAGTTTGCCTTCTACTTCGAAGGAGGCCACAAAGTTCTCAGTGAAACAAATACAGCGGAACCACACGAATACTGAAAATTTGCTGAGTATGGAGAAGTGTGAGATGCCCGAAGGCTCTTTTTCTGAAGATAATCCTTTGACGACAAAAAACAATCGACAAAAAATATTTGAACGTTTCGAAGAAGATGTCTCTCGCAAGATTGTTCATACGATCGCAACCGTTCCACCACAGGATGCTCCTTCCTTAAGCTGTACCGTTACTAGTAGCGGTCGTGCTCCCATGCTGGCCTCTAGATCAAGATCTTCGCTCTCAACACTACAAACGACCGCATTACTTCCAAAAAGGCTGGAGGCGCCACATTTGATGAGTCCCGAGGGTGAACATAAACCTGTACCGAGACCTTCGTGCCCACCTTCACAACAGTCCCCAGTGTCAGAAAAGCAAGAAGACAAGAAACTAATCCTCCCGAAAATCGAAGGGGAATCGTCTCTACAGCGCAACGAGTTTGCCCTCAACTTCGCATCAGGCAGTAGGGCTTCCTGTGGAACAAGTACAACGAAGTCCTGTAGGGGTAGGCTACTCAGAAAAGCAAGAAGACAAGAAACTAATCCTCCCGAAAATCGAAGGGGAACATCTCTACAGCGCAACGAGTTTGCCCTCAACTTCGCATCAGGCAGTAGGGCTTCCTGTGGAACAAGTACAACAAAGTCCTGTAGGGGTAGGCTACAAGGTAGGTTTGGATGTTAAAGAAAGCCATCATAAAATTGCTTTGAAATCCATACTTTAGAAATGCTATTCTGTCGCAAAGGATGTATTCAATAAAGTGCAGGACAACAAAGACGATGTCAAAGTGGTGCGAATCAAACCGCTAACGGCCGAAACGAAGGTAGCGTCGGTGCCGCAGATATCTGGAAATAAT